GGGGGGGGGGGGGCAGCAGCTCTCTCTCAGCAAACTGGGATGCTCTGGCCGACATCTCACCCAGATCCTTGCATCCAGTGGCATGAGTGACCAGGGTGAGATGCCACATAAGGCCGGTCTCAGGGATAACCCCCATGTAACATGCACCACCAGCACTCAACCACTTACCCCTCTAGTGAGCTCCACCAGCACACCCCCCCCTGGCCCCCAGATCCCCCACTGGTAATGTGCACCGCCAAAACCCCCGGACCATTGACATGCACCTTCAGAACCTTTGCACCAGGGATGGATTGCAGTTGTGTTGGCCCCTAGCGGACATTTGTGACGTTCCCCAGTCATGTCTTGGAGGAGCTGGCTTGCTGGCTGGCAGCAGTATCTGTATACAAGACCTGATGAGCAGATTTATCGATCCTTTGGCAGATCATACGGTTCTCACATATGTATTGCAGCTTTGTACTTGGCGGTTTGCCTGGAGCGCAGCGGTTTGCCTGGAGCGCAGCATTGCTTGAACGCACATGTATATCCATGCACATGTATATAGATATCTCAGATGAAGCGGTATAGTGTATAGACCACTAATGTATATTTGCTGCATTCCTTTGGTAGGTCTACGGAGAACAGCTGCTGTGGCACTCTCGCATGAACTGGAGAAACTGGCTCTGGTTGGACCTGGGCCCAGTCAATGGATAAACCAAGTTCGGAGGAGGAGTTCCTTGTTGAGTAAGTCTCTCCTACGTTCACCATCATCCTTTCCAGAATGGCGATGGGTGCCGACCATCCACTGGACAGGAAAGTGGTCTTGTGTTGGAGCTGGAGGTCACCTGTTATGAACTGCCCAATGTTGTGCGAGCATTCATGAATGTTTCCTTCCATCAGGTTCCAGGCTTGATGAAAAAGTCTACAGTGAAATTGAGACGTCCTACATCAAACAGGGAGAAGAGGCTTTAAAGAAGTCAATGAGCATTCTTGGAGAGCAGGACGGATGGAAAGTCGAGATTGTGGCGGTACGCCGAGTCTTATATTATTTTATCCTCTATCATCTATCAATGTACACCTGTGTTTCAACTATAAAATCACATCTCATATACCATGTAGGCTTCTTGTACCAGTAAGACTGGATCACATACCATGTAGGCTGCCCACACCAGTAAGATAGGATCATATACCATGTAGGCTGCCCGTACCAGTAAGACTGGATCATATACCATGTAGACTGCCCACACCAGTAAGACTGGATCATATACCATGTAGGCTGCCCATACCAGTAAGACTGGATTATATACCATGTAGGCTACCCATACCAGTAAGACTGGATCATATACCATGTAGGCTGCCCATACCAGTAACACTGGGTCATATACCATGTAGACTGCCCGTACCAGTAAGACTGGATCATATACCATGTAGGCTGATGTACCAGTAAGACTGGATCATATACCATGTAGGCTGCCTGTACCAGTAAGACAGGATTATATACCATGTAGGCTACCCATACCAGTAAGACTGGATCATATACCATGTAGGCTGCCCATAACGGTAAGACTGGGTCATATACCATGTAGGCTGCCCATACCGGTAAGACTGGAGCATACACCATGTAGGCTGCCCACACCAGTAAGACTAGATTATATACCGTGTAGCCTGCCCATATCAGTAAGACTGGATCATATACCATGTAGGCTGCCTGTACCAGTAAGACAGGATTATATACCATGTAGGCTACCCATACCAGTAAGACTGGATCATATACCATGTAGGCTGCCTGTACCAGTAAGACAGGATTATATACCATGTAGGCTACCCATACCAGTAAGACTGGATCATATACCATGTAGGCTGCCTGTACCAGTAAGACAGGATTATATACCATGTAGGCTACCCATACCAGTAAGACTGGATCATATACCATGTAGGCTGCCTGTACCAGTAAGACAGGATTATATACCATGTAGGCTACCCATACCAGTAAGACTGGATCATATACCATGTAGGCTGCCTGTACCAGTAAGACAGGATTATATACCATGTAGGCTACCCATACCAGTAAGACTGGATCATATACCATGTAGGCTGCCTGTACCAGTAAGACAGGATTATATACCATGTAGGCTACCCATACCAGTAAGACTGGATCATATACCATGTAGGCTGCCTGTACCAGTAAGACAGGATTATATACCATGTAGGCTACCCATACCAGTAAGACTGGATCATATACCATGTAGGCTGCCTGTACCAGTAAGACAGGATTATATACCATGTAGGCTACCCATACCAGTAAGACTGGATCATATACCATGTAGGCTGCCTGTACCAGTAAGACAGGATTATATACCATGTAGGCTACCCATACCAGTAAGACTGGATCATATACCATGTAGGCTGCCTGTACCAGTAAGACAGGATTATATACCATGTAGGCTACCCATACCAGTAAGACTGGATCATATACCATGTAGGCTGCCTGTACCAGTAAGACAGGATTATATACCATGTAGGCTACCCATACCAGTAAGACTGGATCATATACCATGTAGGCTGCCTGTACCAGTAAGACAGGATTATATACCATGTAGGCTACCCATACCAGTAAGACTGGATCATATACCATGTAGGCTGCCTGTACCAGTAAGACAGGATTATATACCATGTAGGCTACCCATACCAGTAAGACTGGATCATATACCATGTAGGCTGCCTGTACCAGTAAGACAGGATTATATACCATGTAGGCTACCCATACCAGTAAGACTGGATCATATACCATGTAGGCTGCCTGTACCAGTAAGACAGGATTATATACCATGTAGGCTACCCATACCAGTAAGACTGGATCATATACCATGTAGGCTGCCTGTACCAGTAAGACAGGATTATATACCATGTAGGCTACCCATACCAGTAAGACTGGATCATATACCATGTAGGCTGCCTGTACCAGTAAGACAGGATTATATACCATGTAGGCTACCCATACCAGTAAGACTGGATCATATACCATGTAGGCTGCCTGTACCAGTAAGACAGGATTATATACCATGTAGGCTACCCATACCAGTAAGACTGGATCATATACCATGTAGGCTGCCTGTACCAGTAAGACAGGATTATATACCATGTAGGCTACCCATACCAGTAAGACTGGATCATATACCATGTAGGCTGCCTGTACCAGTAAGACAGGATTATATACCATGTAGGCTACCCATACCAGTAAGACTGGATCATATACCATGTAGGCTGCCTGTACCAGTAAGACAGGATTATATACCATGTAGGCTACCCATACCAGTAAGACTGGATCATATACCATGTAGGCTGCCTGTACCAGTAAGACAGGATTATATACCATGTAGGCTACCCATACCAGTAAGACTGGATCATATACCATGTAGGCTGCCTGTACCAGTAAGACAGGATTATATACCATGTAGGCTACCCATACCAGTAAGACTGGATCATATACCATGTAGGCTGCCTGTACCAGTAAGACAGGATTATATACCATGTAGGCTACCCATACCAGTAAGACTGGATCATATACCATGTAGGCTGCCTGTACCAGTAAGACAGGATTATATACCATGTAGGCTACCCATACCAGTAAGACTGGATCATATACCATGTAGGCTGCCCATAACGGTAAGACTGGGTCATATACCATGTAGGCTGCCCATACCGGTAAGACTGGAGCATACACCATGTAGGCTGCCCACACCAGTAAGACTAGATTATATACCGTGTAGCCTGCCCATATCAGTAAGACTGGATCATATACCATGTAGGCTGCCCACACCAGTAAGGCTGGATTATATACCATGTAGCCTGCCCATACCAGTAAGACTGGATTATATACCATGTAGGCTGCCCACACTAGTAAGACTGGATCATATACCATGTAGGCTGCCCATAACAGTAAGACTGGGACATATACCATGTAGGCTGCCCATACCGGTAAGACTGGAGCATACACCATGTAGGCTGCCCATACCGGTAAGACTGAAGCATACACCATGTAGGCTGCCCATACCGGTAAGACTGGAGCATACACCATGTAGGCTGCCCATACCGGTAAGACTGGAGCATACACCATGTAGGCTGCCCATACTAGTAAGACTGGATTATATACCATGCAGGCCTGTGCCATCAAAGGTGCCATCAGTTAAGCAGCTACAGCAGCAAGAAGGGTGACAACGCTCTTCCTTCTGCAATGATATCACTGCAGTGTTGAGAAGCGTCTTGATGCTGTAGCTGCTTAGCTGATAGCACCTTTGATAGCACCGATGGTGGTAAACAGCCACCCCCCTAGCCTGTCCACAGCTCTTCAGATTGACAACACATTGTTCTATCTGCAGGAGCTTGGGGAAATGGTGTAACAGCCCTGCTTGATCCCCCCCACCCCATCCAGCACTATCTAGAAGGGTGCAGGAGAATTAAGCTTCCCATCTGCATGTGCCATCAAGAAAGAGTTATATTACGGTTCTTCTGAGACATTGAACGTGCCAACTTGGATTGAAAATACTTAGAGAAAGAAAAACTAGAGGCTTTATATAATAGCATGTGGGGGGGGGATTTATCAAAAGTGTGTCAAGTAAACAGAAAGTGGGAACAGGAGCAATGTGCCATTCTGACTCGCTTTGCATATTTCATGTAGAGAAGTGAGTCACGCAGACACCAGAAGGCACTGTGTGAGTAGGGGAGAATTGCTCTACATTTCATGACACTCATTGTATAAGTCATACGTAAGCTGTCAATGCCGGCTCATTCTTCTGAAAATGCTGGTTGCCTGTCCTTCATGCTGATCCACTGGATCCAACACTGCCTGAGTCACTGACCTGACTCACTCGGACTTCATTTGACTCATAGTAGTCCAAGCTCAGTGGCCAACCAGCAATGTATAAGGTCATACCTGCACTGACTACCAATGTAAGGGGTCACACCTACACTGACTACCAATGTAAGGGGTCACACCTACACTGGACTACCAATGTAAGGGGTCACATCTACACTGATCACTAATCTAAGGGGCCACATCTACACTGATAACCATTACAAAGGGGTCACGTCTACACTGACCACCAATGTAAAGTGTATGCTGCCCAAGAGTCAGAGAATGGTGACATGACGTTCCAATAAACAAACTCTTTGGACTGCAATACTGGTTGTGTGCTGGTGACATTTATTCATCTTCAACTGGATTCCAGTTGTGTTGGGCTTTGTGATTTACAGTTCAGAAGTCGATCATTAGAACACAATAGAAAGAAAATGAGTAGAGATACTAAACAATACAAAATCCCCCAGGCACAGAAAATAGAATTAAACGGGTTCAATACCTTAGAAGTTTTTGGTGCACATATTTGTAAATGCAGGTTAAGCCACGCTTGCCGCATGAAGACTCCACTGCGTAGTGAGGTCCCTAGCTCTAAACTATGCAGACACAATGAATGCGGACACTTGTTTTTATGAAAACGCATGGGCTATTCTGTATGACACAAACTTTATAGGACTAATCTTTGCGTTTTCTCCAACCAATGAAGTGTTTATTCTTCTTCTTAAAGGAAAACGGAGATAAAGTATTAAGTAAGGTATTGCCAGACATTGGAAAGGTCTTCAAGCTCGAGGCGGTGGTGGAGAAGCCTCTGGAAAGAGTCTACGGAGAACTGGTGGACAACATGGAAAGGATGGGGGAGTGGAATCCCAATGTGAAAGAAATCAAGGTAGGAACCTACCTGAAGTTTCTGAAAGACTTGGTTTTTGTGGAATGTATATTGTAATTTATGTTTAGTGCTCACTTATGTCCAGACCTCCTTATGTTCTCAAGGCACCTATTACACGAGAACATGAAAGGCACGAGAACGTGAAAATACCAGGACTCATGCTAATATGACAAAACTTAGTTTGGTACCACAATCATGGTATTTTGAACCGAAAAGTACAGGAAATGAAACATTTGTGGATACAATTAGTAAAACACATTAAATACGATAGTACAGGAGTGTAAAGGGAGCTTCGAATGGGCTTTTCATTCTTCCATATTGCACAATTAAGAGAATGCGATTGGTTTGCTATGTTGGGCTGACCATGTAGCTTTACAAATGATACAGAGCAGGGATAGGCAATTTCCAGCCCTCCAACCGTGGTGAGACAACAAATCCTATCATGCATCTGCCTTTGGAAGTCATGCCTGTGGCATGCAGAGTCTTCCAATGTCTCATGGGATATGCAGTTGCACCACAGCTAGAGGGCCCGGAGTTTGCCTACCTCTGATATAGAGTGTGACAACTTTATCAACTTTCTTTTTAACTGTGTCCATGCCTTAGAGCAGGGTTAACCAAACTCTGGCCCTCCAGCTGTGGTGGAACTACAAATCCCATGAGGCATTGCAAGATTCTCACAGACATAACTCCCGGAGAGAGATGCATCATGGGATTTGTAGTTTCACCACAGCTGGAGGGCCGGAGTTTGGCTACCCCTGCCTTCGAGGAATCACACCAGTCAGGCAAACCTTAATGGTATAGAACCAATTTATCCGTCACCTACTAGGCATGAAATTGCTTATGATTTAAAACATCATTGGCAAAGATAGCAGTCAGCCAAGCTATGACATCAGATCTGAGAAAGAAAGACCTAAAATTGGAAAGAACCACATTGAAAACAAAGACAGAGGAAAAGGGAGGATGGGTTGGAGGGCCATTTGCACTTAAGCAAATTCTAGCTAAGGTGCCACCTTGTTGTCCTTCCAGTTTCTATTATCTGCCCAACCCCCGCCCACCTAAGACTGAACAAAGAAATCCCACCACCAGCTATCTAAGCCTTCTCCTCTCTACCCTTCTCTAGAAAAGGGCTTTAATTAATCATATCAGGGCCCATTTATTGGGGGGAACCAAATACTGAATGGATTTTTAAGACAGGTAGATGGAAGAAGAGCTTTCTCTGTCCACTCCATGCTTCAACCTTGCATTGAAGTACCTCCAGGACCAGTGCACTCCTCTTAAAAAGATCACTCCTAGAGTTCTATCAAAATCTTAGGATTTTAGAGTAGCCATACATAATTCTAAAGGAATTCCTGACTCTCTAGGGCAGGATTTAGCAGGAGTAGCTATACATACTGTAGTATTTAGGATTGGCAGATGTCTCATCAAAAATGAAGGCGATGAGACATCTGCTTTGAACCTGCCATATTATTTTCATAAGTCACTCGACGTGGAGCAGTGGCATGTTGGTTAGACACCTTCTCATTCCTCCATGAAAAGAGAAGGATTTGACATCTGGAAGGAGAAGAAGGAAAAATCCCTGCATATGAAAATGAGCACTTCTAAAAGTTGTAGTCGCTTCCTATTTTCTTATAGGGAAGGCCTACATGGTCCAGTCCAGGCTCAGTTATTGCAGGCTGTCCAGTTGGCATGGAGCTCAGTATGTCCACCCTTAAACAGTTGTGTGTCATAATGAGGTTCTTATCTTAACTGTGCTGCTTCCAACATGCTGAAAATGATTGCAGCTCGGCTGTTTTGTTATTTTTGGCAAAGCAAGTCTGATATCCAGCATTGCCTTGGGCCTTTATCATAGCGGCCTTGGTGTCTGCTTCGGTTTCTACAGAAGAACATTCTTAAGAGTCTGATGAGCTCTAATCTCAGTCAATGATATCTGCACAGTAGTTCTCTGTCAGTGGGGAATGTGTGCAGTTTGTATAAAGTGAGCGCAGGCTGGAACACTTATTGCCACTCATAGAATTTCACAGCTCTTCTGTAATTCTCTGGCTGGAATTATAATTTTCAAGTTGTCCTCCAGCTTTAGGCTGACATCATTGCCATTGCTTAAAGCATCCCAACTACAGTGCTCACAGTTGCCTTGGTCTAGTACCGGAATTACAGAGCTAGAACTGTGCTCAGGCCACAAGAACTGAAACATAAATGTGGACTTCAGATGCAGACGTCTACCAGGAGTCACTAGCTGGGCAGAGTTTACATTCAGCTGAAAGCTGGAGGCATCTGTATCAGTCAGCATGCTCCAACCCTGGCCACAGACATGAGATCTGTCACCTCACACCTATGGGGATCCCAGTTCTGTAAGCATATTGACAGGAGGTGAGAGCAGTGCGATGACCTCATCAAAGCTATTTTTAGTTATAGCCACCCATTCGGGCTACTACCATAATTTCAATGGGCAAGGGTAATTATCTGTGCACGTAGTATACTTAAGAGTAGGACATATATGCCGAAAATACAACTGAGATGCTGAGGTTATGGTTTTGTTCTGCTTTAAAGCAAACCCGTGATGAGGAAACATTTGGAGGTTCCCGTAGCTTACTTCTTTCTGAAAATGCTCGTTACCTAGCTGCTGCTGCTGGTATGAAGAGTTTCGGAGTCACTGACCCAGAAGAAGCTGCAGCAAAGTCAGGGCAAGGTCAGAACTCCTAATATGCAATCTTGTTCCTGGTCAGTGACTCAGACGACTGAAGACACTGGATCAGGATGAAGGATCATTTAGTAATAGAAACTTACATATTTCCTCCATAAAGGTTTCCTTTTAAAGGCAAAGTATTGTGTCTGGCGACCTTTGCTCACTTGACGGTTAAAGTTTTTTTGGGGTGAAAGATGTGTTATTTATCCTTTCCGAATATAAGTCTGAATTTCCTCTCCATAGATTCTCCAAAGGATTGGTAAGGACACAGTGATAACACACGAGAAAGCGGCAGAGACTGCCGGGAACATTGTTGGGCCTCGAGATTTCGTGAGCATTCGGTGCAACAAGAGGAGAGGCTCCACCTGCATCTTGGCCGGCATGTCGACGAGGTTCGGGGGAATGCCAGAACAAAAAGGCTACATCAGGTAACGCGCACTTACATTTATTAAAATAGTAGAATTCCTATTTAGTTATGTCAATTGAGCTTTAAAGGCATAGTCCACCTAGTAATTAATTCAACCTCATGAAAAAAAATGTTAAAAAGTGATTAAATGTTTGTATTGAAGCCTTCAGAGCTTTGCAACTGTGAACAGTGCATTGCAGGTGCAGTGCACAGGCTCCTGCATTGTTTACCCCAGCCCCATGTCCGTATGGAGGCTTCTGTTATGGGGCTGGAGGAAGGAATAAGTGGACTACAGGTGCAGTGACATCATGGAACTTGTGTGCCATTGCGATCTGTGAGTCCCCTCCATTATTAAGCCTGATGAAGGGGACCCTGCGTGGCCCCGAAAGCACTTGTCTGTATGACATCAATAAAGTGGATTTGCACCGATTTGAATCTTCGTGCTGGTGACATTTGCATTTGATACTGTGAGTCCCTCTGCCGTGGTGGCATATGGGACGTATGGTCTTCCTATTCACAGATCTAGCTGTGTGGGCCAACACTCCCGGAAAGAAGCACCCTGTGATTCAGATAAGTAGGGGTTGGTTTCAGGATGGGAGGGTTTGGGAATGTCACCAGGTTTCATGTTGCACCCTAAATATAGGTGGACCATTAAACATGGTCACAAAGGTGGACTATACCTTTAAAATAAATCCCACAACACTGAAAGGTTTAGTAAATAAGCCAAGCTGGAATTATTGGCCATGCTATCTACTATTAAAGTATGAAGACTACAATGAAGGCTAAGAACCATGAAGAACAGTACCCAAAAACCCATAGTAACCAATTATCAACCTTTTGTTTTACCGATTTCCATAATTCTATATCTAATTGGTTGGCATAGGTCTCTGTGTTCTTTACCCCAGGTTTTAACATATGGCAAAGAACAATGAAGAACAGTGCCCTAAATGATCACATTTAAGCTTCTCTTTATCTGTGTCTTTGAGATATATATAATTATTTTGTATTGTAAGCACACCACACATTGCTAATCTGCAGCTTATTAGACTCCTGAAACAAGGCATAAAGTACCTAACTTGTGTATAACATGTGTTTGATTCCAGGGCAGAGAATGGGCCTACGTGCATGGTCCTACACCCGGTACTTGAAGATCCGTCAAAGACCAAACTAACTTGGCTTCTCAGTATTGACTTAAAGGTGTGTATTATATGGCTAAGGACCACAGAAGGGATAAAAGTATCCCTGGCATGCTAGTTGGCCATAACAGCATCCACTGTCCGTGAACATTACCAACATTCCCCAGAACTCAATCATGCTAGCCAGCAAAGACAACCTGTCAGGCAGCCTGTGTAGTTCAGGTGTCAGGCAACCTGTGTAGTTCAGGTGTCAATGCAGCCTGTGTAGTTCAGGCGTCAGGCAGACTGTGTAGTTCAGGCGTCAGGCAGACTGTGTAGTTCAGGCGTCAGGCAGACTGTGTAGTTCAGGCGTCAGGCAGACTGTGTAGTTCAGGCGTCAGGCAGACTGTGTAGTTCAGGCGTCAGGCAGGCTGTGTAGTTCAGGCGTCAGGCAGACTGTGTAGTTCAGGCGTCAGGCAGACTGTGTAGTTCAGGCGTCAGGCAGACTGTGTAGTTCAGGCGTCAGGCAGACTGTGTAGTTCAGGCAGCCTGTATTGCTGCCCGCAGCCCTGACTGGCGAGGGTTGATCATCCTGTGTCTTGCTGGCTGCAGCACTAGTCTAGTCAGCTGTGGCTTAATTAATCTAACCACACGCCTCCTGCTCTGGGATTGGCCTTGTTGCTGGTGGCGCCCTATTTAAGCATCATCAGCCTGTTCCCCAGTGCTTGTGATAGTTTTGGATATACAATCTGTGTGCTGTCCCTGCAATTCCTGTGTCTGCAAATCTTGTTTGTCTTCGACCTTGGCCTGTCCCTGGATTACGCTTTGCTTTCTGCCAGCCCTGACCTCAGCTTCTGCCCAGATTACCCTTTCCAGCCGCCAGCCTTTGACTCCAGCTCGTCCCTGATTGCTCTCTGGTAGTGTCTTTCCATTTCGGTCCTAACCTTGGTTTAGCACCCGTGGCTTCACCTGATCAGAGCATATAGTTGAAGTCCTGGGGGCATCCAAGTGCCGGTAGGCGTGCTTGCCTTATGGGAACGGCGGCTGCTATCGGTGAAACAACTCTTCTCTATTTGTTCTGACAGCGTGCGTCCGCAGCTGGTCCTGACACAACCCGGCTGTATTTAGTTTCTGACATGTAGAAGAAAGGAGGTCTCGGTTGCAAACATTTATGTATAATATAATAAGTTACAATATATTACGTTACACCACGCTGTCACGGCACCTCTGCCACGTGTTTTCCTACTCAAACGTATGGGAGCACTTAAACTGGGACAAATATAACATAAACAGAGAAAGCTTGGCCCATCTTCTTTAAAGGCACAACAACACACACAACTACACTGAGTGGCCAGATTATTATGACCACCCCATCAGTACTTCGTTGTGCCGCCTCGTGACTCCACGAGATGTTGAAAGGTGATGCGAGGAATCTGACACTGCACTGTTACCCTTCTGTTGTATTGTACCAGTCTTGCCACTCTCCATTCTGCCCTAACATTGACTAGTCGCTGACGGCCACAATTCGCACGTTCAGACCCAGATTTTCGGCTGACAGTCCGGTCTTTAAACACTTTAACAACAGCTCCTCTTGAACATTGAATGAATTCTGCTATTTTGCTGATACCTGCTCCATGGCTCCCAGCGCCAACAATCATCCCACGTTCAAAGGCTGTTACATCGCGTTGTTTCCCCGTATCTTCAGAAACAAATCACTTCTACTGTCGTGGTAAACAACCTGCTTCCCTATTTATAATGGTCTGGCCCTCTAGCAACTTCAGCTCCAAATTATAGCTAATTTGCCTACAAACCTCAGGTGGTCATAATAATCTGGCCACTCAGTGTATATAATAATCTGGCCACTCAGTGTAGATTTACAGCTTGCACAAGGAAAAGCAGCCACCCGACTGACATGTAACTAGCAAAGGAAAGGACAACTGGATGGGGCACAGCTCGGTTGGGTTCTCAAGTACACACATTTGCCACAGCGTCATGTAGGAGCGGCTACTGTTTATAGGCCACATGACCTCCATCCTACATACATTAGAGTTGAAACTTTTATCCAAGAAATGAAGGTGCCATAGAGGTAATTGGTTGGTTGATGAAAATAGGGGAATGAGACACAAGTGATTTTAATGAAAATAAGAAATGCTCTTGCTCGTCACCCCTAATATACTATTTATCCTGTTGGTCTTGTTTCTTATTCTAACAACCCTCTTCTAATTTAAAAAAACATATTTTTCTTCTAGGGATGGTTACCCAAGTCTATCATCAACCAGGTCCTCTCCCAGACACAAGTGGATTTTGCCAAACATCTTCGGAGTCGAGTGGCCATGTCTTCTAATTTGTCTCTCTGCTAACCCATCATTCTTCAGCGATTTGTAATGACCGTCATCCATTCATCTGCCAATTTGAGGCTTCTTCTAGATTGGCAGTGTGATAACAACAAGTTGCTCCTAAACATGTGTAGGCTATTTATGTCTACAGCCACATTCACCATTTACCAGGTATAGGTGATGGTATTTCCCTAAATCAACTCCTCTGCTTTTAACTGAGAATTACTATGCCAACAAAAGTACCAATCTACTTGTATGCAGAAGAGGGAGTAGTCATTGAGTTTGACTCTAAATTAAAGGTTAATGTGCCTCAATGTCTTATTATAGCCAACCTTTGTATCGTTTTGGCAGAGTTAGAACCTCTGTAAGGTTTGTATTGCTCTATCCACCCTGGGTAGATTCACCCTCTCCATTTGTCCTGGTGACCATTGTGTCAGAAAGTGATGGAAATTTCAGAAATGTACAGTTGTCAACAGAACTTCCGGTGAGGGAAAATCTTCCAATGGGAATAAACGTTCTGGCGATAACTGTCTAATAGGGAAGAGCTCAAGTATGGATGGAACCCAGACCAAACCGGAGCTCATGCGATCTCCCACCCAATTAGCTGACCATAAATAAAAGGGGGGGGGGGGGCTTGTGCTGACATAATTTACCTTATATGGCCACATGGCAATACTGTATTAGGTATATGTCCTTCGCCTACTATGACCATGTAGCCATATAAGTTCAATGATGGCACTGCACCCTACGCCCCTTTGCTTATGTCAAGCTGCAGGCAGCTGATTGGGCAGCATTGAAGGAGCTTCGTTCCATGTTCAGAAGGAGCTCCTTCCAGGTTCGGAGTTAAGGTTTGGACCGGATTCAGTCAAAAGCGGAGCTAGTCCCTACTATCTACAATGGGAATTTCCATCATTTTGTAGAGATGAGACTCAACAGGAAGTGAAGAGAAATCTCCCTGAATGGGACATAAATAAAAATGGCAGTTTCTATCCCTTTCTTATTGTAGCCAAAGCAAAAAAACAGGTTTTGCACTTTAAATAGAGCATATGTGGCCATTATGAAAATGCAACAAAGGGCCTAGCTGCCAGAGAAGTGATATTGCATATTCTTCGATATGCAATATCACCATAATACCATATTTCCGCGTGGTACCGGCTCAAAATCAGTTCCGCTTGTTTAGCCAATCAGTCAAATGCTTCTTATGGAAAGCACAGATACATCAACCTCACAAGGTAAACTGATACTAATACAGATCCTGATTCTGTCTTTGGTTCTGTGATCCTGTCCCACCAAACCTTATAAAAAATTAGGTCAAGTCTGATCCAGACCCTAAATTCACCAATTACCGGCCATATCTGACAAGCAAGGACACGTTTGTGTATAGCCATATACATTATTCCTAAGCTGGGCCTGCACCAGCATAAATTCATTTGAAAAAAATTGTCACCGCTCCAAGCTTGCCCCCGGGATGGACTACAATCTCATGTGTAGGTTACTATAATGTATTGTAGTCCATCACGGGTGCTAGCTTGGAGCGGTGACTACTTTACAACACGCGCAGGGACCATGGAGAACAAAATTAGTCCCCCTCCAGAAGGAAGGACAGTGTAAGCACCAATTCAGTACAGACATGGCTTATCCTGTACAACTATTCATTTATTTTTAAAGGAATTGACCTTTATTCCGTCTATGTACAGATGTATCAGATCAATGTAGACAGCAAAGATCAATTCCATGAATCATTTGGTCGCTGTTGATTATGTGACATCACAGCAGTCATATTAAGTGTCACATGCAAGGACGCTCCCCAAAGACAACATGTTTTTATATTGATTATTTTATTCTAATATATTGATACAATATTTAATGGAGAGGGCGGGGCCACTTATTATGAACCTAGGGGGCCAGTTATATTCACAAGAGAAAATAATTGCATTCTTTTTTGGCTGAAGGCTAAACAGATCACATATCTGCCTGAGACCTTCTACACCGCGAACCCCTTCGCTGAGGAAGAATACTGGTAATGGGAACGGATTTCCTATCTGTCATAAGTGTTTATAATATTTATTTTATACATCAGATCCCATTTTGGTTTTGTTTAAATTAACATTATTTTTCATTATTTGTATTTTTTGAAACTTTTTTTTCCTGGTCATAAATTGCTAAAAATTGTACCACCGCAATCACATCCATCTTATGGAATAGAGAGAGATGTTCCAGAGTAGGAGAAGCCCCCAGTTTGTAGTAACAGAGATGTTGCAATGTGTAGGGATAGGGGACTTCCCCTCGCCTGGCTATTGTGCTGCTGTCTACTGATTGGCTGCAGAATTTTAGGACCAGCTCCTTTGACAAACGTCTCTTGGAAAAATGGAGGGGTGCTGACTGGGCCACACACTGCTTTGATATTGGCCATGTCAGCAGGACTTGGCCAAAATTCGACCAGTGCATGGCCAGCTTTAGGCAAGTACCGTACTTCATGCTCCCTTCCTGCAGGGCTTGGCAGACAACAAACGTTAAAAGGGACCCATTTACACCGTTGCATTTTTTTTTTTGGTGCTTTAGTGCATTTCTTTAGAAGTCAATGGCTGTTGACTCTACCCACTCCTATCCTATGCTCGCCAATTGACCAAGCCTTGGTCAATGGCGGTCGGCTCTATCCACTCAAAACCCCAAATTAAAAAATGCAATGGAAGCACAGGTCACCGCGCCTCAATAACACACCAACGCACAAAGGAAACACACGCATTGACACATCTGTCAATGTGGCAAGATGTTTTGCTGGTCATCCGACTAGCTTTCTCAATGTCTGAATTGAGAAAGCTGGTTGGATGGCCAGTGAAACGTCTTCAAGAAAAATACAGCAAGTCCAGTTGCCTTGACTTATTTTTTTACAAATGTACCATGACCTGGATGAATGAGAACCTTCACAGACACACATTGACACATCACAATGTACCTGCCTAATGCTACAAAAAAACATATCTCTATGCACACACATAGATCTAAATGGGCCCCCAAACATTCAGATATGATGGTTCAAAATTGCTGCTGAAGGAATCTTTAATGGCAGATCCAGGTCTTAGTAAGGGTAACCCATACACAAGCAATCCAAGCAAGCAGCCCAATACAAGCAAACAATTCTTCTTGCTAATAGCAAAGTGAAGGTCTACCCTTCCGGGTAATAATCAGCACTTTCTACCATCAGCAAATCTTGAGCTCCATTCTGAGGGGAGGCATGTGTCCCAATTAGACAACCTAATATTTTGGAGCTGTGGGAGAATGGGAGAATGGGACCCCCCCCATGTAACTACATAGATGGGTCATAAGCTAAAAGAAGATTCTAGATAAACTGAATAGGCTCTTTACATACTTACATATAGACAACGTAATCTCTAAATTACTCAACACATCTGCTTATTTACATTATCTGGGCCGAAGCATTTATGAAAAGAGATATCTCCTCCATCACCCCAGATACGAGCTCTGCACTGCCCCTTGTTTTCCTAACCCTATTTATACTATTTATTTAATTCCCATATTATTACATTTTATTTAATATTTATGATCAAGCTGTGTAATTTATTTTTGTATTTAATGTTAACGACGATCAGATGTTTTTTGCTGTTTAATAGTAATTATAATGGGGGAACATCCTTGCACGGTGCTACCAATGGCAGGCAGTATATGCGGCACTAAATCATAATTTGCATGTGATCAGGACACTATTAGTCCCCATTCTACCCCCCTACCCTTCACCCATAAATGAGATCAGTCATTATCATTTAAAAGTACTATGGGGGGGGAGGGGGGGGGGGTCAGCTTGTTCACTTAAGATTTCTAAATGGAAGAGAGAAGCTGATTGGTGTACAACTGCTCCAGATTTTGTCTGCTCTGGCTTTGAAAAATTCCCCCCTCTATGCATTTCAATATCACCAAAAAATAAAACAGAACCATCAACAGAATTCAGGAGTTCTGTCATTGAATGTTGTGAAGGATTTACCTGTTCTTCGGCAAAATAAACCTTAAAACGTTTAGGCAGTTACCTGTACTTTAAGGGCAACTTTGCCGGCAGGACCTACAAATATGTTTCCAGTACTGGAATTGGAGGCGACACAATTCAACCAGCGGAAGGGTCTTCTGTAATGAGAAATGTCGGGCTCAGCCGTTATAAAACCATAAATATATGAAAGTATCAAATGTGTCTTATGTCATAGTTACTTCTATTGTTATCTACTCTGATCTAGTGGCTTTATGTGTTATTTAGAACAAGCTTTGGAGAAATGCCTTTATACCCTCACCCTGTCTTCTAATAAATGTTCTCTAAACTCTCCTGGGTCTTCTTATTCATTGAAACCAGCAAACGTTGTATGCGTGTCATTCAAGACAATACAGTACTGAATTCCTAGAAATGTTCTAGTGGTGTGCCTACCCCATAAAGAGTTCAGCAGTATGAGAAATGTAATGTATAGCACAGCCTACATAGGGAGTGTTTGTGTATTACCGTGTGTATCCGAAAATAAGACCTACCCCGAAAATAAGACTTGTGACCATTCCCAGGGCCGGTGGTGTCATAAGGGGGAACTCGAAGAGCCGCGGGAGACAATCAGCGGTGCCAACGAAGCCAGCGCTAGAGGAAGCGAGGCGGCAGCGGAGGGAGCAGAGCCGCATAAGCCGATGCTACCTCTATAGCGCCGGCTCCTGTCACAGGCGGAGTGATACCAAATACACTCCCCCTGTGAGGAATGGATAGTGAAAGCGCGCTTCCCTCATTCTGGCCAGCAATTGGTTACCAAATTGCTCTTGGAAAGGTACGGCACCCCTGATCACCCTATTCTTAACTTTGCCACTCACTCCTGTCTTGTAAGTCTTCTGCCGGTATTATGGTATGGTAAGACCTACCCCGAAAATAACACCCAGTGTTTTTTTTAAACCAAAAAAATATAAAAGACAGTGTCTAATTCTCGGGAAAACACGGTATTTCATGTGCAATTTGCATGCAAAAAAATATATTTGGGTCGGTTTTGCGGTCCAAGCCACAGATTTAGCTCTGTATC